GAATACGGACGAAAGTATGAGGCACCTAGTGAGGATCAAATTCACTTTTGTCGTAACTGATTTAGCGAAACAAGCTTGCTAACCATTACACCACACCGAGATGCTCCAGTCGCTTTCTTTATATGTTATCATGCACTTTGCACTTAAGTTAACTCTTCTTCCGCTTCCCTAATTAGTATGCACAGCTCTTAGCCGGTTATGTGATCCGCAACTGTCACTGAGCGACGCGCCAATGTGTCAAAAGCGGAGTCAAGAAGTAGACGCTTTTGTACCACATGGGTAAAGCATATGCATTTACAAAATGACATGCTTGAATTTTAAATAAACATATTTTTATAGTATTTTTCTACGGGAAAGGATGTTACATTTTTAAATATCGTTAGCATGTTTTCTTTGTATAAATAAAACCCTTTATTCATGCTCTTCGGTATTATCCCTGTCCTTTTTTTTCTTGCTTTTTTTTTTAATTTTGAGGTAAATAATAATACAATAAATTGACCAGTTCATCTGATTTTTGGAACTGTGTCAAGCTGAGAAACTTTTAATCATAGATAGATAGATATAAATGACAAAATCTGTGAAGGGGTTATCGAAGAAAATACAAAGGATCTGCGGTCCATCTAACATCAGGACAACCTTTAAAAGCTGGACGACACTTCGCAGATACCTCTCCCGAGAAAGACTCCCCCATAGAGGAGAACATGACTAAAGACTGTGTATACGCCATCCCGTGCAGTTGCGGAAAGAAATATAAAGGGGAGACAGGCCGCCCACTTAAGGTAAGGCTTCAAGAACACCAAAAAGCTTTAACACGAAGGGATTGGAAAAATCAGGCGTGTCTGACTATAAATGGAGAGAAAGGGGAAATCACCACCCTCTGTGGGATCAGGTTGAAATCATAGACAAAGAACATCATTAGAAAATTCGTAAACTTAAAAAATCAGCACATATGATAGGCCACAAACATCTCCTGAGCCGACCAAGCATAGAAATGAATACAATATGGGGCCCAGTAATAAGGAGTGCCAGAGAAAAGCAATAACAACGAAAATTGCAATATGACCTCTCGTAAAAAACATAAATGATAACAACAAGAATTGCAATATGAGTACTGGTAAAAAATGGTTGCTGAATTAGGTTTATACTATCCAGAAATTCATGCACAGATATCCTTAAGGACACATGGCACAGTGGATAAAGAATTAGTTAAGATCCAATAACAGGACCCACAGAGTGGCTAAGGCAGTGGAGAGGGTAATTAACAGGAGATAACGGATAACTGATATTCATTAGGCACATGGAACAGTCTACCCCAGCGAGCGAAATAAAGGGTTCACATAAAGACATTCCAACCACCTGAAGAAGGCCGGAGCGTAAAACGGCCGAAATGTTGTGATAAATATGGCAACAAAGATGAGGGTGACAGTCCAAACAATGTAAATAGTGTACATAATACCTCATCTTAGAAACATAGACAGATACAAAATCTTTCTTATTTTTCTTAGATAGATTTTCGTGAAATACATCTGTTTCATGCTTTAGCACACATCGTCCGTTGTTCATTTGGGGTTTCGTTTCTTTCAACATCATACCCCCTCTCCACAGTGACCCCAGCCGATACTGATCGGGTATCGACTTGTGTGCCATCCTTCAGCCACGACATTCCTCATCTTTAATCACACACTGCGACTCCCTCTTATAAATTTAAAGTCCAATCACGGATAACTACCGGTTCACAAGCTTTACGCTCTTCCATAAAAAAGGAAGAAAACGCATTAACTGTTTCACTCTATAGATAGATAGATTGTTATTGCACTTAGATAGATAGATAGATAGATAGATAAGAAACAAACAACCGAGATATATCTCTTAATAAACTTGACGTTTTGCTATCTTGCCTAATTTTGCATGTTTTTTGTTTTGTTTTTTGTTTGTTTGTTTGTTTGTTTTGTTATTTTTTTTTCTTTGTTTTTTTGTATAAAAAAAAAGCTTTCATTCATGTTCTAAAACTTCTCCCTCGCTTTCTTTTATTTTTTTTATTTTTTTAATGTTTGGGTAAAGAGCGGTATTGTTGAGCCCGTCCACACACACACACACACAGTGACACGCATAAGTAATGGATACATGTTATTTTTTGTTATAACTCTAGTTTATGTTCGCCATTTTGCCTGATGTTTGGTAAGTAATATCTCGTAAAGTTGTTTTAGTTGTATTTGAAAGGAAAATATATATATATATATATATATATATATATATATATATATATATATATATAGGTAAACTAACTTCGCTACTGAAAATATATAAAAGTTGGGCTCTACTAAACTTTTATTAGTTCGATATATGGAGAAATAAAGAGAAATGGAATTTGGAAGAATATGTTGCGCCAGTTCCGCAGACCTGTTTGCTTTAAAGAATATCATGCAAAATTTTGGCTTTTACCTCGACTCGAATAGCGACTTCCATAACTGGAAGCAGATACACACGCAACTTAGGAGGGGGTGCTAAAAAAAGTATCACCCACTTACATTTTTCACTAATTTATCAATTGACCAAGCATCGAGGAGTGTCATTCTTTAAGGATTTCTTGGTCAGGTCGATCACTTTGCAGCACCCTTTTCTAGTAAATACCATCGGTGTGCGCGTAGCGTAGGAATTAAATGGGAGTTCAAATGTTGCCTGAGTATGTTTCGCCCATTTCCACTAATGCAAAGGCATGAACCCATTTTCCTGACATGTAATCCATCTCTTCTTTTTCACAATCAACCTAGCTAAAGTTAATAGCAGGGTAGACTTTGCTGCTTAGGAGAAGTACAAGTCTGAATTTAAAACTGGCTGGACAGGATCTGGCAACTCCAAACCGTAAAAACCTGTTTGCGAAGGAAACTGCAACAGCAATTGTGGCTCAATACTTCAAGAAAGGAGTATACGGATAACAAAAAGCACATCTAACTTAAAAATCAGTCGACCTAATTTATAAAAAATCTCTAGAAAAGTGATTTTCTCTAAATCTAAATCGTCATAAAAGGCGATCTGAATTTTTAATAGTATTTATGGATAACTTTTCAGGGCATTAAATATTTTTTCAAAAATATAATACTGCTAAAATGAAAAACTAAATGCGTTAATAAATGACACTGACTAATATTTTAAAGGAAGGTGTTTCATGTTTAATCATTTCATTATATTTTGGAAGATTAAAGGATTTGAAAAATATTCATTGCTCCCTATAGATAGATAGATAGATAGATAGATAGATAGATAAAGAAAGAAAGAAAGAATGGAAGAAAGAAAGGAAATAGATCCCTTAATAAATTTAATTGTTGGTCATTTTGTCAGATTTTAGGAATTGACTCAATTTGAGAAAATTTCAAAGAATGAAAGATTAGCAACGTTTTGATGTCAGATTCTAAACCCACTACTGGAGCAATATTCTTTTTTATTTCCTCCCCACTTATCAACTTCGAAAATCTTACTGGCAAGAAGTGTGAAAATCACCATAGCAACAACACCTGGTTGTCTCTTCGGGTTTTCCTCATTAGTTTCAAGCAGCGGCACAAGTGCCTGTCGCCATTTTGTTTATTAACTCCTCTGCCACTGAACAGGTCAAGCGTCAGATTTGCAGACAACTAGAAAAAGGGCGAAAAGCAAAAATAAAACTAGAAAAAAGTCAAAAATAAAACTAGAAAGAGCGAAAAATAAAACTAGAAAGAGCGGGAATAAAAATAGAAAGAGCGAAAAGAAAAAAAAATCGTAATAGGATAGTAAGCCAAACATCAACATTTCACCATCAGGTACGCCTGCTGCAGAGCAATGGCTTGCAGGTTATTTTCGTTTCGCCACTGCAACAAAATTCGATCTTCAATAGGCGCCCTACAATTACGGCTTTGTGTCGCATTAAGCTCTCCTTAGCAGATGCCATTGTGGGTAACTTTAATAGAACGATGGCTGGCAGATGATATTCACCAGGTGCTTTAAGTTAGTGACTCACATGTTTACACTACTGTGGTTTTGTTCAGTTACATTATCGTAATTAATTGAGTGGCTAACAAGAAAATTGGTGTGTTAAAAACATCAGACGACGTCGTATCAACTGATTAACAGCCATTGAATTATTTAAGTGGGGAAAACATTCCTATTCATTAAAAGAAAGAAAAGAAACAAATGCTTCTTTGGTCTTAATCTTTATATTTAGCAGCCGTATTCATCAGCAGGTAGGTTAGGTATTCTCCACAGAGAATTGTCCTACGGAACAATAGCTTAGTGGATTAAAACGTTGTTTCGTGAATTTGGTGAAATAGTAATTGTGAGTTCAATCGTTTGACCAAGCAGTACGCACTTTGACTCAGTGGAAACAAGACGAGCAATAACAGTGGAACGAAAATAATCTACCTCCGTAGATTAAATAAAGGATTCAATTCGGAATTCCCTGTAGGATACTCGGATCGACATACATTCGCCTGATGAAGGACGGAAGGCAAAATGGCCGAAACATCGTGATAGCAACATAGATAGGACAATATTCCGAATGTAAATAGTTTAAATAATGATACTTCCTCATTCCAGAACTTCAGGCAGAAATTAATCAAAATAATATTTCCGCTCATTATCGATAACCTAATCAAATCTATCTGGCAAATCATTGATCCTTCGGGCGTAAAAATCTTTAGATTTCGACGCAAAGAAATACTCAGTTTCAGTTTTAATCTCTTAAAAATCAATACAAATTTTCCCCTTTAAAAATATGTTGCAATGATCTAAAAAGCTGATAGATTTTTCAATACCCTTTTAAAATTCATATGCAGTTTCTTTTGCAATACCCTTTTAAAATTCTTTCAAAAACTGCATATGAATTTTAAAAGGGCATTGCAAAATCTATCAGATTTTCAGATCATTGCAACATATTTTTAAAGGGGAAAATTTGTATTGATTTTACCTGTATTTATATTGGTTTAAACTCATTTTAAAAGGGTAAAATCGATATAAAAATTACTTATTAAGTTCTCGTCCGATCACCGAAGTTAAGCAAAGTTGAGCCTGTTTAGTACCTAGATGAGTAAGTGCTTGGGAATACCAGGTGCTGTGAGTTTGGATGTGCAGGGTGTGTAATGGATAACGACTCTGGATAAGAAACAGGAGAGCCGGTTTCGAATTCCAGTCGGGATCGTTACATTCACTTTATCTCAAATACCCTTTGGAAAGTCATGTATCAATCTCTCCCTCATATAAGGTCATATATATATATTATAAATATATATATATATATATATATATATATATATATATATATATATATATATATATATATATATATATATATATATATATATATATATATATATATATATATATATATATATATATATATATATATATATATATATATATATATATTTATATATATATTAACCCCTATATTGAACTCACCCTATTTGAGTCCTCAAGGATACATGGCACAGTGGATAAAGGCGTTGGTTAGATCCAGTGACAGGACCCAAAGAGTGTGAGTTCAATACCCGGTTAAGGCAGTGGAGAACTTTCAGAGGGAGATAACTGATAACTGACACCCATTAAACATAGCACGTGGAACTAGAACAGTCTACCCCAGTGGGCGAAATAAAGGGTCCTGGTCGACATTCCAACCAACTGAAGAAGGCTGGAGCGTACAACGGCCGAAACGTTGTAATAAATATGGCGACAAAGATGGGGACAATAGTCCGAATAATGTAAATAATACCTCATCTCAGAAATATAGACCTCTACTCCTGTTCAAAATACCAGGTGCGAGTGTGACGCGGGCAATAACCGAAATAGTAAAAAGAAAAGGCTGACTGCTTGATTTAAGAGTTTTTTGCATTATTAGAAAACTCAATATTCTTTTAAAAAAATAACCCATTTATAGAAGCGTAGGCAGAGCTTCTCTTGAACTTGAAAATAAAGAATAAATTTGTTTTGAGACATTTCAATTTCTTATGAGTCATTTAATGGCGATATTTAATTTTCTTCGGGACATTAGTAATTTCTTTTGCAAAAATGTATTGACGATAATTATTATTTTTTTAACAAAGTGATTTTTTTAACTGGTAATTTTTTTTTTTTTTTTTGCTATGAAAATGTATTGCTAGTATTTTTACTATAAAATATTTTGTACTTTCATTGAGTTTTGACGCCAGTTTGGGGCATTAGCTATTTGCCCATAGCTGTGACCCTAACAGGCGCTACCACAACGAGTCAGGGTGAACTTTGGAAAAACAACAATTGAATGGTCGTTCCACGCTTCTCAAAACCTCCCGATCAGAGACCATGATGCCGGATGTAGTTTATCCTAATTCCACGGACGGTAAAAAGAATAAAGCTGAGGTTTTCCAAATATTCAGATTGAAAGTTGAGGGATAGCTGAAATATCATAAACTGATTCATTAAGAAATTTTCCTTTTTTTTCTTTTTTTACATTAGCAAATTTTATTATCCTTTTCGGCAATAAAATCGGCTGTTGTTGAACACAAGACCCACCCGTATTAATGTATTTCTATTACGTGAAAGTGACAACTCTGTCAGAGAAAATTACAATCAGTGTCGCAGATTTTTATTTGATGTGTGCCTATGAAAGGACAGAAATGACATTTGGGGATCATAAACCAGTAAAATAATTCAAAATAATTGCTGGGCTTTTGTTGGCATCGCATGGAAATTTTAATTAAATGAGGCAAGTACTTTTCTTTTTTTTTTTTTTTTTTCGTGGAACATTTATGAACATTCGCTAATAGCTTGTGAAAAACTGGCGGGAACATCACGTATTTTTCTACCACACATGTCGCCAGTGGACATTAGCTGTTTTTAAAATCAATTTACGACAGTTTTACACAAATATAAGTGTATACATAGTAATGTATACACACATGCACATCTCAACTTCAATCCCTTTCTCGTCGATGTGTCTTTTTTTGTCATTTCTGCAAATATTTTCATGACAACTACTATTATGGGCTTTTTTCCCTGGTGCCTCGACTACACGAATTTAAACGTCCGACTAGATTGGCAACAAGGTCTCATAGTTTTACTTTCGAACTAGCTAGATGCAACCGTCATTTTTACTTTAACAGTTACTTTTCTTGCACTTCCCACCTGCGGGACCACCTTTCAAATTTCTTGCTACTCTGATAACTCTTCTTTATTTGCCATGCCACCTCATAACGTACGCGATCATGTCTCTCCACAACTTCTGGTCACTTGTATTTCGTAATAAATTTTGTCTTTTTACTATATCTCCTAAACCCTCTTCCGCCATCCATTTACTCAAGCTCACTAAGTGTGTTATGTGTTGTTTTTGTCTGTCTCTCCTGACTTCAATATGCCCTGTAAGTATCAGATTTTCCAAGCCCACTTTCCTCATTATGTGCCCTAGAAATTTAAATTGCCTCTTCCTGGTGTTAATTATGTTTCCTTTTTGTTTAAATTATTTAAATGCAACGTCAATTTCCATCTTCTCTCTTCTTGAAACCTGTTCTTTTTTGTTCTTTCCTCATTCCTCTCCATTCTCAGTATTCTCTTTCACTTTCACTTTCACTTTCACTTTTACTCCCTGTAATCCCCTACGTTCTATTATTATTTTGTACGACCTTGTTCCCGGTAGCCATTACAGATGACGTCAAGCTAGATTATTGCAAATTTCCAGCTTCGAAAAGAATAGCAAGCAAAGGAAATATATATATACACTCCATGGGTTGTTGCAATGCTCAAGGATATCAAGAGCCAACACCACACTTCCCAAAACAAATATATATTTTCTTCTTCATTAAAATTGATTTGAGCAAGAGGTCTGGGTCCCATTTCATATATATATATATATATATATATATATATATATATGAAGGCAGGTTGAAAATATATATAATTTAAAACATTATGTATTACGTTTATCTGCCTGTTTATTCGAGAAACCTAATAAAGAAAATGTGCTTTCCGGCAAGGAACGGAGCTATGCACTCCTACTTTGAAGGGGAAACCACCGTTTTATCCTGCGTAGTTTACCGTTCGGCTACAGAGGGAGGCACAATCCAGAAAGGCTCTATTTTCCATTTTAAGGTTCGATCACCATTTTTTATTATAATTATTTTTTTTTTGTCTTTTTCTCCTACCTTTAGTCTTGATATTAGTAACGTATTTATTTAGTTATATATTTTTGTTTTTATTTACATTTTATTATTTTTATTTATTTTTTATTTTTATTAGTACTTTAATTTTTATTTTATATTATCACAGCATATTTTATTATTATTGATACTACAATTCTTATTTAGTTTATTAGTATTAATATTAATAATATTATTAATTACTTTATTGATTTTCTTGGGAAAAAATAGAGCCCCCACTTGATTTTCAAACTATTTTTTTATTCATTCCTTTTGATTACAACAGCTTTTCTTTATTTATAATTCTTATTTCTAACCTTATTTTCAAACTTAAATGCTAATCTGGCCCTAAAATCAAATTCAAAATTAAACTACAATTCATTTAAATATTTTAACAACAATAACAATCCACCCCGACAATAAAATGTCTTGCAATAAACAGAAATATTATAGAAGCGGCGTTAGCCAAAAAAAAATGCGCCTGACGAATGTAGAACGTATGAATTGTGCAATGAATGTAAGATATTATATTTCTTACTATGTAAGTATTGCATATTATGATATATATATATATATATATATATATATATATATATATATTCTGTCGTACGAAAATGGCCTAGGGGTAAGATATCTGACTGATGTGATACAGCGAAACAGTCTGACTGTGGATGATTATACGCTCCCGGAAATCCGATTGATCTCCCTAGGGAAAATGGGTTTTAAAAACAGCGGCTCCTACTGCAATTTGGCATTGCTCTTCAAGTATGAATTGAGTTCTCCGAACCGCTGGCGTATTTCGTATAGAGAAAAACGTTAAAATTCCCTTCCTTTCTGCCGTGCGACGTTGGCCTAGGAGTAAGATATCTGACTGATGCCATATCAGTCGGGTTTAGATCCCGGCTTGAAGCAATTGGGCGTCTATCCACACTGACGATCTGTGATACACCGAAACAGTCTGTCCTCCCTAGCTATGGGTTAAAGAATAAAAATTGTATGTGGAAAAGTCATTGTTTTTCTCAAAAAAACGTTAATGCAATATTCACTCGCAAAATAGAATCAATCCTATAATCGAAAATGTTTCGGCTTTAAATAACCCAAAAAGTGTTGATAAATCATAAAAACATTAATCAGTCAACCAATATAGTAGCTAAATTAACATCATTATTCAATTACCTGAAATAAAATATGAAGTAGTGGTTACTTATCTGAAATAGAATATTAAATAGTGGTTAATTACTTGAAATAGCACATGAAATAGTGGTTGGCCAATGGTAGTAAGTTCGATCCTAACTAGGTTCTACATATTTGGAGTTTTGTGTCAAATCTTAGTAAATATTAACAAATTATATCTCTTATATTTATCATTATTAGCAGCTGTCATGTATTTTTTTGTTTTTTTAATAATTGATGATTTTTACTAATGTTCAAGAAAACAAGGCTTAAGAAGCACTCAAAGTAAAGACATATTGAATGAGATGTGTGGTATTAATGTGAAAACAAAATGTAGGAAGTGAAGATTGTTAGAATATGGCGGATAGATAAGGATTAGCCCTATTAATAATAAACGAAAGCGATTAAGATTGTGACATTCGGGGAATCATGCATGCTAAGGTATGTTCCAAAACGCAGCGGTTCTTAAAAAAAAAAAAAAACCAGTGAAACTTCCTTCCTACAGTTGGAATACGGGGAAACTGACAGTGTTACGACTCCGTGGATGTAGCACGGATATGGATAGTTGTAAAGGTCTGAACGAATGAAATTAAGAATGGGGCTCATCCAAACATTTGCCATGGAAATAAGAGTAACGACAGGCTTGTGACGTTTCGTCTGAGGTTGCAAAGTGGAAAATGTAGACCAGTGTAGACCTCTCTGAAGTCTACCAAGACTGGTAGGTGAAGACTGGACATGGCAGAAAGATTCAGGGACTTTCTGAAGCAACCAAACTCGACT